ATGATGACTATGATGATAAAAACAGTGATAATGAAGACGATCAAATAATGGATGATGATAAAAGCAGTGATAACGAAGTTCGATATCTTAAAGCAAAATGTTACCGGGAGTCTAGATTTCGAGCTGACTTGTGCTATCAGAAGAAATTTTTAATAGTACTCCTTGGTGGTATGGAATCATGGTTAGTCTCTATTTTTATGTTGAATAATTAATTTAAGGACATGATTCCAATTTATTAATTTTTTTTCTTTAGCGAACAGGCAACTTTACTTTTGATATCAGACTTACGTGGTCTCTCTCGCCGTGCTACTTCACCATTATTGAATAAATTCCGCAGCGTTGTTATCGCAGTACTCGCTATCCAAAGGATGAGGTATGTGAAAAACGTTTAAGTCAATAATGCAACTCTTGCTTACATCCGTTATTTTATTTTATTTTATTAGAGTACTTAAAAGCTCGTGGAGCCGAAATAAAGAATTGAAACGAAATATACAACTACAACAGCAACGTTATTAAAAAGATTTTTATTTTTTATTTGATTAACAGTAATGGCAAATTACGAGACATATACTAATAATATCTATTTAATTTTTTGGATGTAATATACTTCGGCTAATGTAAGACTATAATCGTTATATCATACACTTATAAATTAATGTATATTTATTGATACGAATAATAAAGGCGAATCAACTTGCATTTAGAAATAGAAAACGTGCTTAAGCCATTATTTATCATCATCATTTTTTTTTAAAAAAAAGATTTATCTTATCACGAAATAATATTAATTATTTCATTAATATGATTCATAATTACTTGTGAAGATTTGTATCTTGGAAGCTCTCTGATATTTTTTAATAAAGGTTGAAGTTGATCTGCATCCCATGTACTTTTGATCTATGTTGAGATTTGAATTTTGAATTTTTATAAAAAAAAAAAAATAAGAAAAAACGCCGTAAATTCAGAAAAATTCATATATATATATATTTACGCACCTTGTCTTTCGATACGTTAAAACTTGTTCTCCTCATCACTAGAATGGCAAATCTCATCACTGATTTCAATGTTTGAGAATCGAAATGTTTCTCTCCACATTGCAAATCTTGTGATACAAATTGGATTATAGATTTAAGGGACTCTCGTGATCTCTGCACAAGTGCGTTTATAACACTGTTATTCACTGGTTCCTGTTACAAAGTAATATTTTAATAGTCATTATATAATACATAGTCATGACAAAATGTTCGTACCTGTTTCTTTTTCGGAATAGCATTTTTAAAAATAGATGATGAAATATCATATGCAATCATGACTTTCTTAGGATTCTTTGCTGTTTTTGGATCAGTAAATCCGAGGAAAATATTTGATAGATACCATGAAATTTGAGGTACATGATTTGGCAACTCTGAAAATGATTTCATATTCAAGCAACTGGACTTTCTAATCCATTTCTCATATGTAGACTCATAAATACTAATAGGCTTTTTTAAATCTTGATTTAAGTGCTCACCCTCAATATCATTGTTCAAATTGTTTTTATGGCATTTTATCAGAGATTTGAGTAAAAAGTTACCAACTTTCCAACATAAAGCTGCAAAGTTACTATAGCAAGCTTTTAAGGCCATGTTATGAGTTTGTTGTAATAAAGTAAGTACACGATCATTGTCGAATTGGTTGGGCATATCTTTTATGCTGATTCTAAAGTTTATAAGAGAGAATGCACTTTTTGCAACTTCGTCAGTTTTTTCATTCTTAGCAAGTTCAAGCAAAGGAATAAGTAATTCAAAAATCAGTGGATTAGTTGGTTGGGATCGAATAAAAATCCGTAATAGTCCAATAATTTTATGCTTAAAATGAATTCTTTGGCATTTTGCATCTATATACATGTTAATTGACAGAATTTTGTGAATGGATCAATTATATAAGCGAATAAGAATATTAGATATTTATCCTACCTTTTTTCTTTGTCTTTTCTAATTTTTGTTGTTTAAAGTACTTTACCAATTTGGAATCTAATTCTCCCATTATTTCATCTTGGTTATCTAAAACATCATCGTCATCATCATCATCATCATCATCATCATTTACGGCCTTCGAACTTAGCGCTTTCAACTTCTGCATCAATGATTTTTCATCAATACTTTCATCATCTAGTTCGTTATCACTGCTTTTATCATCATCCATTATTTGATCGTCTTCATTATCACTGTTTTTATCATCATAGTCATCAT